TAACTCAGGCCACACTTGCTCTACCTTTTTGGAATCAGGATGATCATAGATTTGAAAATCTGCCCTTCGTCTGGTGATTGAACATCCAGCATTAGGATTTGTGTCCGAATGAAAAGGTAACAGTTAAAAATTCAAATTTTAAAATAAGTGAAACAAAATTAGTGATTTTAAGTTTTTAATTTATATTGAGTTTAAAGTAACACAAAATCTTTGTGAATTTAAAAAGTTTTGTTTTAAATTCAGTTTAAAATCTCTCCCAAATTTTGTGAATTGAGGAAATCAATTTTATTTCTTCAAAATGCCAAAGAATCAGAGTTAAAGGTTTTGTGACAGGAGGTTTTGAAGTTCTGAAGATTTTGTGATTTGAACAACTCAGTTTTTGGCTTGAATTGGAATTTTGGCCCAAATCAGACTTTCAGCCTAAATCAGTCTTTTGGCCTGAATTGGACTTATAGCCCAAATCAGAATTAAAGTGAGGTTTTGCTGTTCCCTAGAATGAACTGAGGAATTCAAAGCTATTTCTTCAAAATTATCATTGCTGTTTTCTAAGCTGAACCAGAAGTTCCTTTAGTTTTAGACTGGAGGCCCAATTAGGCCTAAGCAGAAGCTACCTTAAAAGACTGCACAGTGTGAGGTTTTTAAGCTAGTATATAGTAAAACAAATTGCATTTTGATTCACCCTCGTAATATGTAGTAATTCAGCTGGAAGCTGTTTATTACTCAATAATAGAAAAAAAATTCTAGTTTATGTCTAGTGGAATCTTATATTAATACAAGTTTACTGATACCTTGAAAAATACTGCCGTATTTTATCATGGCATCCTAGGTATGATGATAAACTACATCCAGCAGCAAGGCCTCCCATCAGGTGGTTTTGGGGAGTGTGGAATTACCTCTTAATTGCTGTTGTGCCCATATCCAATTGGACCTGAGCAGTAGCACCTGTTGGGGTCCCAAATATAGGTAAATAGTTAACCTTCAAACTGGGGTCAAAACACTATGACCCTCCACTATGTTAAAAAAATCTTATATTAATACTAGTCTACCCATGTAAAAAATGATGGCATACAGTTTTTAAATCAATACTTTTATGAGATTTCACATGTGATATTTTTTAAATAGATTTTTCCAATAATATATTGTAATTTGGGTGGGGGGAGTTTATTACTTAATAATCGAAAATCAAGCCCCGCAACTTATACTCAATAGATATACTCATGCCATCAATATTGACACTAATTTATTAAGGTTTTTTATTTACACGAATCAAAATATATTTTCACAGTTATTACATCAATACATAGTAATTTGAGGGGGATCAGTTTATTACTTAATACCAATAAAAAAACAATCACCCACTTTATGCCCAAATTAATATTTGTTTTTCCATGCTGTCAAAATGATGGCATATTTTATGAAGTCATTGATGTTAACAGAAAGTTTTCACATGTGAGTCTTTAAAAAAATTTTTCCAATTGTTATAATTTACCCATTTGTATGTCTATGTACCAATATCCTATGCACTACCAACTTCTTTTTTTTGTCTTTGATCTGTTGTCAGTTTCAAAGAATTGATCATTTCTTTTTATTATACACCTCTGCCATTCGTCCATGTTTTGAAAATTGCTGCCACATGTAGCCTGATGCTCCTGCTATATACAGTAGAATCCCTTACAACCAGACTAAAAAGTCTTTCCAGATATGAGGAATTGATTACAAAGTCCGGTTATGAGGGGTTATATTTAGATTCAAATAAAAGAACTGAAATCAGTTTTAACATTTATTTTCAATGTTTTATAGTAAACAAAATAAGCTAATGGTGAGTGAAATGTAATGGAATTGATTTTAAGGAAAAATAAATAAATTATGAAATGTTAATGAAAATTCATTAAATTAAGTATGCCACATATGCAAAACAATGTAATGAAGATTTTTTTAATCGATGTTGCATGATGATTCTTTCTCTTCTAATATCATTCTCAGTTTTTTCCACATTTTGTTTTGCTTTTGTTCTTGAAATTTTTAAACGAAAGACACTTTTTAACTCTGCATGTGCTATAACAAACATCATAGCTGAATGCTGGCTTTCTTTCCATAAAACTGACAAAGTTTTCAATAACTTTTTTAATTTCAGTCCAGGTTTCATCACAATCATGTTTTTTATTTCCTTGTTCATTGTGAAAGTGTGAACGCTGGAGAATAGTTTCTTTGGAAGATTTTATATCATACAATGTTGACTTAACTATGTTGAACTCAGCCATTAGTTACAATGAACTTTCACCAGCATCTAGTCTGTTTAAAATGTCCACTTTTTACGATAACTCCAAAGTTGTTATTTTCCTCTTATTCCCATCATCTTTTGCACCAATACAAGCCATTAGGGTGAAATAAGCTTAAGCAATTATTCAAAATAAATTTCCTGATAAACAGAAATTTCAAATCAGTTACATATCACCCAAATAGTTCAAATATACACCTCAAAATCATGTTCGGATATGTGGGATTCCGGATATGACGGATTCCAGATATGAGGGATTCTACTGTATTTAGAGATTCTTGATAAAATTCAAAGAAGAATCTTCAAAGTTATTAGTCCTGACTTTCAGTCACTTTCCCACCACTATAACGTAGCTTCTGTGTGCTTTTTAATAAATACTTTCCTGGTAAATGTTCTGATGAACTCTCTGCTAAACTTTATAAATTTAAATGTGGTACTAGATTGGCAACAAGTTCTCATCATTTTTTCAATTCAATTAGCTAGATGAAACCATAAGTTCTATGCTAACAGTTTTTTCTCTTGCACTTCTCACTTGTGGAACTCTCTTTTGGCTTCTTGCTTTCCAGTCAACTTTGATCTTCAAAAATTTAAATGCAATGTCAATCGTTATCTTCTGTCTTCTTAATTCTTGTTCTTTTATTGTCCTCTCTCCTTAACAATATTTTTTTATATTCTCTAACACCCAGTAACCTCTTGAGTCTTAGTGGCTTTATTGCCATGTTTGGCGTGGAATGATTAAAAAATAAAAACTATTCTGAGCAGGCATGAGATTCTGGTAGAGAATAGATAATCAGGCGTGATCAACAATTTGGAACAAGATCAATACCCTTAAACGCTTCTGGCTCCATGCTTTCCAGCAAACTTTGATCTTGTGAAATGATTAAAAAAACAAAAAAAAAAAAAAAAAAAAACGAAAAAATCTTGATTTGTCTCTCATCTGGCGTTGAGAATGCACGGGAGGACTAATTATTTCCCTTGCATTGAAAAATATTTAACACAACAGACATTTAGAATTCAAAAATAAACAAATATGCTTCTTGTGTTATCAAACGAAAAACAAAATGACTTTTTGCTTACTCAAAGCGGTAACAATATAATGAACATCAAAATAATAGTAACTAATTAATATTTATTAATCTAATTTTTCTAATTTTTCATTACAGCACATATTATTTGGTTTGGATAAATTAAAAAAAGACAATCTGTCAAAATTTTCGAGATGTGGAATTATGATTATTATATGCTTTGCTATTTAAACCAGCACGCTCATCTTGATTTTTCTACGCACGAGTTTTCGTACGTTGTAGCCTCGGGCTTTCTTCATTGGTCTGTCTTTGTACCCTGTAACCTTTTAGGAATTTCGAACCAAGTCCTTTTATTCAGCTCATGGGTGCTGTGCATAATGTTGTTATTCTGCTTGCTATATTCAGGGGAGGTAACCCCCGTCAGTTAATATTTACCGGTTTTATTCTCCCTTGTGTCGCTTGTTCATCTCTTCCTCTGAACTAGAGTATGTTGCTTTTTAAGCTCTACCAGATTCAGGGATTGAACTCACAGCAACCAGGGGAGATATGTTTTAACCAATGCTTTGATCCACTGTTTGCTTTATAGATCTCCACGGATTGAATAAAGGGTTTGATTCAAAATTCTGAGAAGGATACAGACTACAAAGACAGGCACCTGAAGAAGACCAGCAGATAGGTCGAAACATGATAACCTTCTTGGAATTTTATTTGATCAATAGGCATAGATTCTTCCCATTCCGTTTTCCATGTTTAGGGGAGATAACTCGTATCAGTTAATACTAACCAGTTTTTTTTTCACTTTTGTGTAGTTTACCTCTTTCTTCCACTGAACCAGCGCATATGATTTTTCAGCACTACCAAACATGAGGATCGAACTCACAACTGCCAGAGAGACCAATGTTTTAAAATTTGTTACACGGATTAAAGTTTTAGTTAAAACATATTGACTTCCATGGTACTTGTAAGTACCACCCCTCGATCTGGTAGTGCTCAAATGTCATATTGTTGCTTTTCATGGTTTATCAGCTCTTTGTCATTTAAAGCCGAATCATGTTTTAAATTATAAGAATAATTTTTTTGTGCGTGAATATTACTTTATTATTTTTTTAGAATAACAATGATTTTCCTAGATACATGTCCGGCTATTTAATCCATAGATGGGGGAGAAGATAGATTCATAGTTCGTAAGTGAATGTAATGAAGTCAACTGGAATTTGAACTCAGCTCTCCGAGCCGCTATCCATTACACCACCCGAACATCCTATTTAAAGGTGAATAAGAAAGGTAGGTACTAACTAGTACAAAGTATTTATTAAACAAGGATAGAAGAAAGAAAGCACTCTGATCCTGGTGATTGAATAAAGGGTTTGGTTTGAAATTCTCGAAATACTAAGTGCAAAGAAACCTTGCGATTATATTGATTGATTGATTCGTTTTTTACTACTTATCAACCCATTGCAGGTTATCTAAAGCCATAAAATATTTTTAGGTTGTAAGAATTTTTTTTAGATAATAATGGTTAAATGGTACACGTCTTACTAATTAACCCATAGGTTGGGAGAGAAGAGGTGGATTCACACCTTTCCCATTTGCGCGTGTGAATATAACAGACCCAATGGGAATTGAAACTCTACTCTCTAATTAGCAATTCGGAGTCGTTATCCATTACACCACCCGCACATCCAAGCTTACATTGGCTGGTATTCCCAAGCGGTCACCCATCTAGATACTGATCAGGCTCGACGTTGCTTAACTTTGGTGATCGTACGAGAACCAGTGTTTCAACGTGATGTGGCCGTAAGCCCGATAGATAGATAGAATTGGACAACCTGAGATAGATAAATAAATAAATATATAAATAAATAGATATCATCGGTCACCCATCTAGGTACTGATCAGGCTCGATGTTGCTTAACTTTGGTGATCGTACAGGAGGTGGTGTTTCAACGTGATGTCGCCGTAAGCCCGATAGATAGAATTAGAAAACGTGAGATAGATAGATAGATATTACATGCTATTCCTCAACGGTCACCAATCTAGGTACTGATCAGGCTCGACGTTGCTTAACTTTGGTGCTCGTACGAGAAGTGGTGTTTCAACGTGATGTAGCCGTGAGCCCGATAGATAGATAGAATTAAACAACCTGAGATAGATAAATGAATAGATAGATGTCATCTGGTATTCCTAAGCGGTCACCCATCTAGGTACTGACCAGGCTCGATATTGCTTATCTTCGGTGATCGTATAAGAATCTGCGTTTCAATGTGATATAGCCGTAAGCCCGATAGATAGAACTGAACAACCTGAGATAGATAGAAAGATAGATCGATCGATAGATAGATAGATAGATAGCACCTGGCATTCCCAAGCGGTCACCCATCTTGGTACTGAACTGGTTCAACGTTGCTTAACTTCGGTGATCGTAACGGAACTCGTGATTATAACAAGCAAGAAGAGCGTAAAGGTCGAAACAGCAAAAGTATATAATAAACGCGTTGTTATATCTCTATTTGTTTTTATGCATCGTTCTCAGATATTGTATCAATATAGCCATCATCTGAGACATCAGCAAGGTTTTTAAAATCCTTTTCACTCAAATGAGCTTCTTCCAGTGCCTTTCGACCACAAGTAGATGACAATAGGTATTTCATCACGGCATGTATTCTTTCCTGAAGAGATAGAGGAAAATAAAATATAGTGACCCTCAACGATTACATAGAATGATTTCATTTATATTCATTTGTTTATTGTAAACAGTTGGGCATTTACATTCTATTTACATTTTAGCCTATGAAAAGCTCGAGGCCTGACTCTTAAACGCAAAGTGGAAACCAGTAAATGACAGCATTGTCAGAGAGTGAGGAAGTTGAAGGAGCCGGCATATATCGCCTTCTCTACCTGGTACATATGTTCAGAGCCGGTGCAAGGGTCTAGTGCACTCCTCACCAAATCTATGATATTGGGCCCTCTTCACCCTAGTACATTTCAATTTTCATAAGGAAGTGTTCATAAAAATACAAATTTTATTGTAACCTAATTATGTATAATAATAGATCATATGCAATATAGTTGTACAATTCAACTAGAAAACTTGAAAATAAATACAATATGCCTAAATACAAATTAGAGACATGTCATAATCGATCATTTTAAATAAATCCATCATGTTTTGCGGCAATTTTTAACATCAACTCGAAATTTTTCTTGTTAAAAAGTTGAATAATTTTAACACATTCAACATCATGGATAAAAATAGGAACCTCCACTTTGTTGCTGAAAAAAGAAAATAGCATGACATGATGAAAAAAGGCCTTAAACTTAATAAAAACAAAGTTTTATCGCCAAAATGTTTATGTTATTATTAAGAGGAAAGACCAAAGTATTTTTTTATTATTTTATTAAATTTTTTAACTCCTTTCTAGCACGTTCGAAATTTTGGTTAAAAATCATTTTTTTACGTCAGCGGTCGACGTAATATTTACGATTAATGTTTTGGGGCCTTTTTTTCAGATGAAAATCACTGATTTGGAAATTCTTGCAAAAATCAAATAATTGTCGGATTTTAATGAAACTTTCAGGACTTATTCCTAAATGAATGAAATTATTTGTGAAATGTTTTCTTTAGAAAATCTTAGTAAAAAATATTTGTTTTTTTACATATGTTACCCTTCCCCCTTACTTAATTTTATGAAATTTCGAGAAATTAAATTTCAATCTCAAAATTGTTTTTATTAGTTAAACGCAGGACACCTTGGAGAATGTAAATCATTAATTTTTTTTTCAAACTATTATTCATCTTCTGAAAATCTGCTCCGAATCGTAAAATAAAAAATGCAATGAAACTCTGACATTAATTAATTAGAAAAGTTTTTAATTCCTTTTATAAATGAGATTTATGAAGGACACTATTGTCGTAAAAAAAAAAATCGATGAATAATGATTTTTTTACAAGAATTGTTTTCATTGAAAATTTTTTTTAATTATAATAATTTAAATCATTTAAAATTCTGCATTACTTCAATCCAGTTAGTCGATATTGTTAAGTGAAATCTATATTTACTAATCAAAAATTAAAAAGCTTAATACAAATTATTTTGAATCAAGATTTTTAAAATAATTTTAATTTTTTTATGTATATAAAATATTACGTAACATGTACATATTTGAAAGTATGGTCGACCATACACGACATTATCAGAAAATAAAAACGATAACTATAGTAAATTTACAGTCAACATTCCTTAAATTAGATTACGGGTAATATTTTTCAACATTTTAAAGATTACTGTGCACTTAAAAATTATATAAAAAAGGCGTCACTCGTCATTTTCTTAAATTATGTTTTAGCAGATAAAATTTCCGTAGAACATCAAATAGATCCGTCAAAACCTTCCAGCAATTGACGGGAGATGAAAAGCGCATAAATCATCGCTTCTGTTTGTTTTAAAAATCCAATTCTCTGTTATTTTCAACTTAAAATAAATAATTTTTGTTTCAAATCAGATTAATTATATTTTAAATAAAATTTCAGAAAAGTATATTTTATTTTTGGAAGATTCTTAAAACCGAGAATTAATTTTTGTTTGCGAATATGTCAAAAATGGCCGTTTTTAAAAGATTTTCTGAAAGCGACCAAAAAGTTGAGATCCCAATTAATATAATTTCTACTTGAAATACACCAGAGTATTTTGCTTACTGGAAATAGTAAATTTAATCATTTAGCTTTTAATTAAAGTTAAAAAGAAAGCTCCAAGAATGCTTTTTAATTTTTAAAAATTCCTTTTAAACTTAGGTATCGAAACTGAGAGGAGGTACGTAGATAAATATAGTAAATTTTAGATAGTGCTTTTTCCAGACTTAACATGAGAAAAACAAATTCAAGGATTTTGGCAAAAAAACAACAAAAAAACAAAACAAACAAACAAACAAACAAAAAAACCCCCAAAACCCCGGAATGACATCAAAATCCGAAAATTTTTCATCCTTAGTCAGTTGTGATCTTCAAAAATTTAAATACATCAATCGTCACCTTTTGTATCAATGAATCCTGTTCTTTTATTGTCTTCTCTCCTCAATTAATTTTTTTCTCAGATCTTAGATCAGTTTAGCATATTCCTTCTACATATGGTCCAGTGTTCCTGCCAGTTACCTTAAGCGCATTGATAAAAGCCAAAGAAGAATTAACAATATTATTGGTCCTCGACTTCAGTTACTTTCCCGCCGCCATAAGGTTGCCTGCCTGTGTCTTTTCTATAAATACTTTCATGGTAATTGTTCGGATGACCTCTTTGCTATCGTACCTAAACTATTTTTAAATTTAAGCGCAGTACTAGACTGGCGTCAAGATGCAACCGGAAGTTCTATTCTAACAGTTTCTTTTATCGCACTTCTCGCTTGTGGAACTCCCTTCCAGCTCCATGTTTTCGAGCCAACTTTAATCTGCTAAAATTTAAATGCGATGTCAATCGCTCTCTATTGATTACCCTTTCATCTTGCTTATTATTAATTGAATAGTTTGCTGACAGACAATGATCCTGGATTTGATACCAGCATATAACATGTATAAGAAAACTTTTTTGTTCATATTAGATGCGTAACCGACTGGTTAGAGCGCTAGTCTTCCGCCCAAGTGCAAAATTACACAAACTGAAGCCGCTACAAGTTCTTTCCGTAAGTTCTATGTTAACAGTATCTTTTCTCGTACTTCTCGCTTTCCAGATTCTTTAATCTTCAAAAGTTTAAATGCAATGTCAATCGCTATCTCCTGTCCTCCTGATTACTATTTTCTCTTTCCACTCCTTATTAATGTTTCTGTTCCTAATTCTTCCACCATTTGTAAACCCTTGTGTCTTAGTGACTTTTCTGCCTTGCATGGAGTGAAACCAATTTAAAAAAAATAAATCTTTAATTCTTTGAATTGAGAGATAATGATTACTTTTAGATTGTTTTACCTTGAACGCCTGAAGTAATAAAAATGCCGGATTCAAATGAAAAGACATTAATCCTTTAGAAATTGCTTTCTTTAAGTTTTGCAGACGAAACTCAGCTGATTTAGCTTTCGAGAAAAATAAAACTCTGAACGAAATGATGTTGCTTTAAGACAAATTGAACCTACGAGACTGGCATCAAAATCTCCTTTATTTACAGTTGAGCTGGCTAGATGTAATCATAAGTTCTATACTGACAGTTTTTTTCTCGACCTTCTCGCTTGTGGAACCCCCTTCCAGCTAACTTTAATCTCCAAAAAATTAAATGCAACGTCAATCACTATCTAATGTCCTTCTGATTACTCTTTCCCATTCCCGCTCATTAGTAATGTTTCTGTTCCTAATTCTTCCATACTCTGTAACCCCCTTGTGTCTTAGCGTCTTTATTCCCTTTCATGTGGTGATACTGATTAAAAAAAACAAACAAAAAAGATCCTTTCACTGTTAGTTACTTTTTGTGTCTTAGTGACTTTATCGCCTTAATTGCGGCGAAATGATTAAAATAATAAAAAAATATGATTGAATGATTGAGTCATGATTTGATTTTTTCTTTTTTTTTTTTTATAACGATTACTTGCATAGAAGGCTGCAGATCGAATCGGCTTAAATGTTGTTGGCAACAACCAAAGAAATAAAGAAGAGATTAAATAGATTGAACAAAATTAGAATATAAATAACTCTTCACAAAGTTTAGAGAAAATACAGAGATTAGTAGATTATCTCTTCTGAAATATATTTTTTTACTATTTTCGCCGAATACAAGGCACAAGTGCCACTCAATGTAGATGGTTATTGAATGAGGTTGGACGTAAGAAGAGGAGGTAAGACGTGTAGATTATGAAGATATTCCGGATGAATAATGTTTTTTTTTTTTTTTTTTTTTTAAGCATTGTGCCCCAAGCAAGGCGTGAAGCCACTAGGATGCAGGGGGTTTGGAGCGAGAGCAGATAAGAGTGATAGGAGAAAGGAAGAGGAGAAGGATAGTGGGTAGATCAAGGTAATTGGAGATGTCGATTGACATTACATTTGAATAGTTGGAGATTATAGCTTTCAGGAAACAGTAATTGGGGAGGGTGTTCCACTGGCAGAGAGGTGTGAGGTATGAAGCTATTGGAGTAGAAGAGACGGCTACATTTGAAGGTTTTCTACGGTGTAAGGGTGAGAGCGGGATGCCAGCCTCGTAGGGCGCTTGAATTCATGGAGTCTGGGAACCAGAGAGCAGCTCATCAGAGCAGTTACCATGGAAGTATTTGTAGAAAAAAGACAGAGAGGCGACGGCGCGTCTGTGAGAGAGTGACTGCAAGCAAGACGCTAGATCAGGGCCAATTAGATTACATATCCTTCTCTGGATCTTGTCAAGAACTCCGAGGTAAGCAGAAGGTGCTCCAGCCCATATATGGCAGCAATACTCCATGCAAGGGCGAATGGTTGTTTTGTATATTTGAAGTATCAATTCAGGGTTAGTCCTAGAAGAGATTGTTCTGATCAAGGAACCATCCGTTCTGGAGTCTGTTCCACATATCATCAGCTCTTGGGAAGAAGCTGTCCGAACAGAAATTCCTTCTTACTATTGAAATACGTAAGGAATGAAAATGACTCAACTCTATACATGTGATATAGCAGATCTTAGCTGTAAAACTCTGAACTGGTAGAACTAGGGAATGTAGATAGAGTAGTGAGAGGCTAGCAAGCAACGTTTCGTCTGTGGGAAAGGGGTCGTAAAGTGAAAAATAATTTCTTCACTCACAAAGCTGCATAGATTGTTATACTCTTTCCGGGCTGGAAACAGAAGATTGAACATCTCCAGTACAGATATGGCAATATCATGGGTCCTACACTGTTTCTGATCTTCATCAATGATCTTCCTGATGTCATCAGTTCTCAAGTAGGAATCGATACAGACGACGCTACCATTTACTCATGTCTCAATAGTAAATCCGGCAATGCTGACAAAGTTAATCTGGACGCTGGTCTTGAAAAGGACATCCAATCAGTGGTTGATTGGCGCAGGAAATAGCTTGTAAATTTTAATGCCTCCAAAACGAAACTGCCCTTATTTACCCACCATAGAGAAACCTCCCTGCCTCCTATCAACATGGCTGAGGGATCGTCTCTATGCGCCTTCTTGGTCTCACGTTTTTCACTGACCTGAGGCGGAACAACTACATTGAATCAATAGCTACATCTACCGCAAGGAAAGTTGGTTCTCTGTGTCGCGACAGAAGGTTTTTCTCGTCTGAGTTCATCCTTCAAATCTAAAAATCTACCATTCGTCCTTGCTTTGAATACTGTTGCCATATATGGTCTGTTGTTCCCGTTGTTTATCTCGAGGTTCTCAACAAAATCCGAAGATGGATCTGTAATGTGATCGGTCCTGACTTGGCCCCTCGACTCTAGTCACTTTCTCACAGACGTGATGTGGCTTCCTCTGTCTTTTCTACAGACATTTTCATGACAGCTGCTCTGACAAGCTATTTTCCTTGGTGCCCGACTGCATTAATTTAAGCGTGCTACTAGGTTGGTATCTCGATCCTTTTACTGTTGTGCCCGCCACTTCTACTCCAACGGCTTATTCTTTCGCACTTCCCGACAGTGGAACTCCTTCCTTCCTTCCTTCCTTCCTTCCTTCCTTCCTTCCTTCCTTCCTTCCTTCCTCGGTAACTACAATCTTCAAAAATTTAAATGTAACGTCAATCGTCATCTTCTGACACCTTGATCCCCGTTCTTCTTATCCTCTCCTCACCCCACTACCAAGTCTTTTCTCTTACCTTCACTATCTGTAACCCCTTGCGAACTGGTGGTACTCCTGCCTTGCTTGGGGTGAAATGCTTGAAAAAATACCCCAAATGTACCTGAACTTGTGCTAATCTAGGGTAACATTCGGAAAGAACTTTCTTCTGCCAGACAGAAATTCTATTGGTTCAGATGATTGTTTTGTTTTGTGATTTTGCTTGATTGATTTGCTTAATGACCTATCAACTCCTTATGGGTCATTTAATGCCGAAATTAATTTTCTTGTAAGCCTTGAAGTAATAAAAATATGATATATGTTATTCTGCTTTCACAATTGAATACGTGACAGATGATACCCATCTTCTGTTCATATACATGTTTGTGTATATATAATTACTAGAGGCGGTGATGTGTGGGTTTAAAGTTGTAGTTTTGTTGAAGTTATATTTTGAAGTACAGTTTGGTTTCTTTAAGAGATCATACTAAAATGGAAAGCAAAAAGCTATCATTCCATAATTAACTCAAAACTGAGCAGATCAACAGATTAATGACATTCTTGATACACCATTAGTAGTGCTCAAGTGACCAAACAGTACTCAGGCGGTCGAAAGAGGGATAAAAGTGGTGACTGAAGCTTGGACTGAAGTAACGGGATACAAAGCGAGAGATGGATATATCAGGCAAATTTTATTGTCTAGGAAAATAATGCCCATGTTTCATATGAAAAAGATTTCAATATTAACTTGTAATATTTTAATATGATGTATCTCTTAAATAATATTGGAATTAAATTGATATCACCGATATACAATTTATTATTATCCTGGCAAACAACAAATGGAACTTATTTTTTGGTGTACAGTAAAAGTTAACAAAATGTCGATCGCGATGCTGCAAAGAAAGTGAGCATGAAATGACCTGAAATTATTCACATGTATTTATTTCAATTATACAAATGATGACTGAAATGTGCAGTTTTCAACTCAAAAAATGTGGGTTTTTTCACCTCTCTCTCGTGTATCAAAGCCGTTAAAAATGACGGCTATTTTTAGAAAGTTTTAATAGTGAGATGCAATGAAAGGAAAATCTAACAATATACTGAGATTCATAAAGCGGAGATAAGGAATTCACAACTAAAATAGGCGCCAATGAACCATTTAATTAATCTGTTCCTTTTATATTTTTAGACGTTCAGTGGTATCAGTGATTCATTGATTACTTCTGGTATTATATAAATCGCTTTTTGCTCAGTATCTTTTCACGTTAAACATTTTATGCATTGAATATAACAGAAATGAAAATATCTCCCGCAAGAAAAAGATTAGCAGCAAAACAACAAAGAATGCAACGACAAAGCCTGTTTCTAGGCCAAGTTGAAGCAAGACGATCACTTAATAGACAAATTATATGAATGTCTCACATGAAAGTCTTGAACAAATAAGACTGCAATTTAAGAAACGTAGGAGAAAAGGAACTGATTAAACGGTTCATTTAGATCGGGAAGTAATTTCGTCTCAATGCAGATAAGGACTTTATTTGTGTAGATTATTAAAACGACCAGATTTACCAAATTTAGTTGATTTACCCCCCCCCCTTTACACTACAGATGGGACAGAAAATATGTCAATGAATAAACATTATATGGCTTGCTTATTTAATACTCTTTATTCTTGGATAAACGTTCTGATTAGCACCCTAATAAGATTATGTGGAAAAAGGTTTTCAATCATCAACTCTACTCCACTTGTAGTTGGATCTATCTATCTATCTATCTATCTATCTATCTATCTATCTATCTATCTATCTATCTCAGTCTGATCAAATCTATCTATCTATGTTACGTCTATATTACTTTTAGCACCCTAATAAGATTATGTGGAAAAAGGTTTTCAATCATTAACTCTACTACACTTGTAGTTGCATCTATCTATCTATCTATCTATCTATCTATCTATCTATCTATCTATCTGTCTGATCAAATCTATCTATCTATCTATCTATCTATCTATGTTACGCCTATATTACTTTTAAACACCAGTTCTTGTACGATCACCTAAGTTAAGAAATATTGAGCCTGGTCAGTACATAGATGATTGACCGCTTGGGAATACCAGGTGACGTAAGCACAGATGTATGAGTGGTGTAACAGATTGTTATATCCCAGGTTATTGTGATGAATAAAAACGAATGAAAATAAAGACATGTATATTTTAACACATAATAAAAGTATTTACTGCCTAAGAACAGTAAAGATTAGTTTGTATTTAAACCATGAGTTACACGCGTGTCTCAGCTTGTTACCATGTTAAATTCAGAAGTGCCGCGATCCGACTAGCGGACGACAGCCGTAACTCAATTGTATTTTTAGTTATCATCTTTTATCACCACCTAACACCTCCTCCTTTTAGCCTTGTGCTCGTATAACTTTTGTAGGGGATTTAATTGCAGTGGATATGGCTTACTTTGTCGTCGATGGGATCTCCTTGGTGCACTGCTTGAGTTCTATTTTTGTTCCTTGGTATTATTTGGGAACTTTGTTGAGGCAGTTCAAAGGTGTCCAATAGAATGTCGAGCGGTAAAGTGGATATTCATTTGGCCTCTGGAAGGTTTGATGGTTATAACTGGTTTGCATATCGAACTCAGACTGAATACTGTATATCCACGACATACGTAACATTTCCAGAGCGACGTATAATGCGTCTTTGGATTCATTTTTCTTTGCCGTTGCGATAATCTTTTGTAAGTACATGTTGTCCTGGTACATATTTGCGTTTCACTACTCCGTGATGACGGTTAAATTGTTCTTCCATCACCGTGTTCCTTTTTAAGGAATGCTTTGTAGTTGGATGGATGACATCTATGTGTAAACGAACTTTAGGGTTCATCAGTGCTTCTGCTGATAAATTTCCATTAGGTGCGTTTAGTTTGGGTGTAGCTCTGTAACTTGCGAGAAAAATTTCTAATATTTCTTGTGTGGTTCTCTCCCCTTTGAATTTGAGAAGTACCCTTTTAAAGGTATCTGCAAAATGCTCCACTTGTCTATTTGATTGTGGATGAAAAGGTGGTTTTCTAATATGTTGAATACCATTCTGTGCAGAGAAAGTTGAAAATGCAGCTGAAGTGAATCTGGTGCCATTATCAGAAACTAGTATCTGTGGGACTTCAAATCGACTGAAGATTTGTTTTAATTTAAAAATTGTTTCATCCGACGCGATGTGATTCATCTGGAAAAAAAATCTGGCCATTTACTGTAAGCATCAACGAAGATAAAATAATTCTGTTCTTAGATGGGCCCAGCAAAGTTGACGTAAAGGTGTGACCAGGGTGATTCAGTAATAGGCCAGTCTGAACTGAGCGTAGTTTTCCTGGGAGATTTTGTACAGCACCCAAGTCTATCTTGAAAAACGTCACTAAACTTATTTTTAAGTTCGTCCGTGAAATGATTTTCAATATCAGAAACCGAGGTGAGGTATTGAACACAGGTTCGAGCCGAATTTCAAAAAGGTTTTGTTCTGTACAGTCAAGATCAATTAAATTTAATTTCGAATTATCTGCGACATAACACACACACACAGCAGAAAATGTTCTATTTCGAAAGGAAACATCGCTAGTTAACTCACCATCTGGTGAATTGTACTTCCCGACGCGCTCATTGCTATGTGATCTGTTTCAGACATACGCGGCTTTTCAATTTGTTTCCAAGTCGAATGCGATATTAACGTTATGTGTGACGCTGTATCAAACTGGAAACGAACTGGTTTGTTGTTTACAGAAACAATAATATATTTTATATTTTATATAGCTTGTTTTTGGGTTCACCCCCTCGTTTCATGATCATTCATCTGATATATATATATATATATATATATATATATATATATATATATTGTAAATAGTATTTATCATCTCATTGAGATGTTCCCTGCAAGAGGGTGTGGTATTATGGTGTATGGAAGATTGATTGACGACGGATGAGTTTTTATGGTGAATGAGGAAATTGTTGCGAGTGAATGGGTCGTGAATCCGATTAGCTAGGTATAAGATAGACTAGCCTCAACCCATTCCCCGTTTTCGGTCTTGTGCCATATTTGTATTAATTTACAATAAATCTCAACAATAATATATTTTTTGCGGGATTCGTAATCCACTTTTAACGTCGCACACACTATGTTTGTTTCGAACATTTTCCTGTTTCGTTTTTTAAATTTTTTTCGGGTTGAATTTTCGGTTGAATTTTTTGTGAATTTGGATTATAAAATCCTTGTTTATCCCCGTTTCGGTGACAAATATTTCACTTAGATTTCTTGAACGAACAAAAGCAAGCATAATGCCAGTCGCCACAATGCCAACATTTTGAAGAAAGATTATTTTCATCACGGGGTTGTTTTCTCGCGTGGATGTTTCTGGTTATTGATAAATCACCATTTTTCTTTTTTCAATCAGCATAGTGTCTCTTTTTATGCTTAATAGATTATTGCATTCATTGGTGAAAGCTTTTAACATAATGTCTTTGTCTTGTTCCAGTTTAGAAAGAAGTCGGGTGCGAACATCAGCATGAGCAGAAGATATTAATCCTGCGATAAAATCAAACATTTAAACTGCTCTTCTGTGAGGAAATTTAATTTAAATTTTTCGCATTCCCGTTTGACGTGACCAGCAAATGTTACACAATCGTCAGCGTAATCTATCGTTAGCTTTAGATAATTGAATCAAATAGAATGTTTTTCTCCGAATACTTCACTGAATTGTTCCACTGTTTCAGTGAAGGTGAAATCTTTTGCCTGCTTTGGTAAAACATCATTCATCTGATGATCATGTTCCTTAATGCCTAGTTCATGTATTAGGAGACAAATTTTTCATTTCTTATCTTTGCGAGAAAAGTTGGCGTGAAAGGTATATATCCAATGTTTAAACCACAAAACGAATGTTTTTCTGTTCGCTGGGTCATAGTGAAATTCTGTGATGTTGTTGTCCAAGATTTACGCTGAATTGGTATTTTGGAAAATTTCGAGTTGATTCTGGAACTGTGCAGTCATTGCTGTCAATAACTGTTATGATTTCTGAAACTCTTCTTGCTGTTGGAGTAAAATCACCGTAAGCATCTCTGGTGAAATTGCCATGTTGATTTTGAAGTTCTAACTCTCGTCGCCAAAAATTTGTTATATCCCAGGTCGTTGGGATGAACAAAAACGAATGGAAATGAATACAAGTGTATTTTGACATATAATAAAATAACTTCTATTTATTTACTGTCAGAGAACAGCAAGGATTAACTTAGATTTAAACCATAAGTTCCACACGCGTGTCAGCTTCTCACCATGTTGAATTCAGAAGTGACGCGGTCCAACTAGCGAACAAGGGCCGTAACTCAGTTGTATTTTGAGTTATCGTCCTTTATAGAGGGTAGTAAATTTCCACCCACTAACATAGGTAATGCATCCGAATTGGAAATCGGAGAGTCACATTCCAATTCCTGT